ACACACCCACCTCCCCCCGACCTGTAGGCGCCATTGGTTTGGCTATATTCCCTCTTCAGGATGTGCTGGTGCCAAACCACGGAACCTCCCCTTCCCTCTGTTGCCAGCAACGCAGACTTTTAGGGAACACAACATAAATATTCTGGCCTCGCTGAGGGCTTGCAGTGATTTCATCGCACTTAGTCTTGGCAGAAAACTCAACAGCCATTCGCGGATGACCATGTTGAAGCTGTAAGCAGCAAAGCTAATATCGTCACAGGGTGTGATGATGTCGAGCCTTGTTGCTCCTCAAATCAAGGTCCCTAAGCAAAACTATGTCAAGTTATGGTTAGTCATGTAGAAATTACCCATTTCATTTAGTAATTCCACATTGTATTGCCTTGTGCAAAGCTATAGGTTTATATTTAAAAGATTGTCTTCAAAATAATTTCACCTTTTTTTTTTGTCCAGATAGGGAAAACTAATAGCTAAAGCTGGAAACTGCCTTTCCTTTCTCTCTCCTCCTCCTACCCTGGTTTTTCTTCCCCTCTGAGGAGGAGGTTTTTCAACTTGAAAATTTTCAGAGACTCTCAAGGAATAATTTCTCCACTTGGGTAGCTTTGAAATAGTCACCATTTCTTTCAAAAACCAAACAATAAAGAACAGTTTCTTATGTTGAAGACAACAAGCACATGGCTATGATTAAATTGCGACGAACTCCTACAAACGCAATTTTGTCAGTACTCAGCACATCTTCAAACAAAAGGCAAACTGAACTACAGTGATTGCCTGCAGACATTTAAGTCACGCTTCCTGTGTGATTAATGACTCATTTAATGTGACATACAGCCTGCCAGCCCCTCTGGAAGCTTCCAACACCCGACTAGTGTTGCTTCAGGAGCCAGTCAGATTTGTTGTCATCCAACCAAATAGCTTCCTGCACCTGCCTTTGCTCCACTTAGAAACGTGTTTGCAAAATTGTCGCTTTGTGTGGACATGTATCAAATAAACACAACGAAACAGGACACCCAACCAACAGGTGTTCCCTGTACAGTTCGTTCATCCACTGGCTACCGTCTTGTGTTTTGTCACCGGGCTCAGTCTCACTCAGATTGCTTCCTGGTGGTTAACTGGGACTCTGCCTCTTGAAAGTCTCATCTCTGCTTTAGTTACTGGTATCCTTTTGATCTCCTCGCATCTGGTTCTTTGAGAAGATGCAGTGTTTGAGGACAAACATTATTTATTGGGCTAAAGATGTTTAGCCCAATATGTTGCTTAGTTTAAAGGTGACTTCATGCATTCATTTCGATTCAGGGTTGAAACATTGTTCACAAGCACTAAATTCAAGGTTGAAACATTGTTCACAAGCACTAAATTCAAGGTTGAAACATTGGTCACAAGGCTGGGTTTCCTCCAGCCTCAGTGTGTCCTGTCAGTCAGTTTCCAGGAAGTATTTGATGTTCTGTTCTACAATTTCCTCCTTTTGATCAGGATCCATCTACTATGTCCTTGATCCAAGTTTTCAGTCCAGGTAGGCGGGTAGCATCCATTTCTTCTGGTTCTGTAGTAAGAAAGAAAGCTGTTTCATGGAGGCCATGTATGAAATTGCCACTTTTTACCCAGATGCATGAACTACACCAAGGGAGTGACCGAGTAGAAGTGTCCCAGGGTTCTCTACTCCCCAGCAATCCTCAGCATTGCTCAGCAAAAGGTGCTCAGGACGTGGGCCCATAAACATGGGATGATCCTCAGTTCAGTTACATTGTAACGCTAATGAAGGAATGGCTACAGGCTTGGCCATGTGTTTCATTCAGATCAACTTGGAAATGTTGTGATTACATGTTTAAAGCTTTTTTAAAAAATTAATCATTTTATTGGAGCTTTTTTTAAAATCATTTTATTGGGGGCTCTCACAGCTCTTAACACAATCCATCCATCCATTATGTCAAGCACATTTGTACATCTGTTGTCATCATCATTCTCAAAACCTGTTCTTTCTACTTGAGCCCTTGGTATCAGCTCATTTATTCCCCTCCCTCCCCCACCCTTTCTCCCTCATGAACCCTTGATAATTTATCTTTTTTTTTTATGTCTTACAGTGACAAATGTCTCCTTTCACCCACTTTTCTGTTATCCATCCCCAGGGAGGGATTTATATGTAGATCATGGGATCGGTTCCCCCTTTCTCCCACCACCTTCCCCTTACCGTCCTGGTATCACTATTCTCATTATTCGTCCTGGGAGGGTTATCTGTCCTGGATTCCCTGTGTTTCCAGCTCTTACCTGTACCAGTGTACATGCTCTGGTCTAGCCGGATTTGTAAGGTAGAACTGGGGTCATGATAGGGGAGAGAGGAAGCATTAAAGAACTAGAGGAAAGTTGTGTGTTTCCTCAGTGCTATTCTGCACCCTGACTGGCTCGTCTCTTACTTGTGACCCTTCTGTAAGGGGATGTCCAATTGTCTACAGATGGGCTTTGGGCCTCCACTCCGCCCTCCCCCTCATTCCTATTGATATGATTTTTTTGTTCTGGGTCTTTGATGCCTGATAACCTGATCCCATTGATACTTAATGATTACACAGGCTGGTGTGCTTCTTCCACGTAGACTTTGTTGATTCTCAGCTAGATGGACGCTTATTTATCTTCATGCCTTTAAGACCTCAGATGCTATATCTTTTGATAGCCAGGCACCATCAGCTTTCTTCACCACATTTGTGTATGCACCCACTTTGTCTTCAGCGACCATGTCGGGAAGGTGAGCATTCTTGCATTGAGGTAGTAGGACATTGAGCCCAATGTCCATCTGCTACCTTAACACTTAACATATAAATATATCTACATAGATCTATTTCCCTATCATTATAGATAAATATATTCACATATGTACATGCCTGTATTTAGACCTCTGTAAATGTTCTTTGCCTCCTAGTTCTTTCCCTCTATTTCCTTTTACTTTCCTCTTGTCCCACTATCATGTTCAGCCTTCATTTGGGTTTCAGTAATTCCCCTAGGTTACATTACCCTTGATCTAGCCCTACCAGGCATCCTACACCCTCCTTACCATTGATTTTAGATTACTTGTTGTTCCCTTGTCCCTGGATTTGTTAACACCCACTTCCTTTCCCCACTCCTTCCCCTCTCCTATGTCTTCCCAGCCCCCTCCACCAAAACCACTGGTCTCATTGTTTTCTCCTCCAGATTGATTATGCCACTATCTTATCCAGATAGACATTCAGAGATAATAATAAGCACAAAAACAAGGCAGAGCAAAACAAAACAACAAAAGAAACCAAAAAAGCACAATAGCAAAAAAAGCCTGTAAATAGTTCAGGTCTGTTTGTTGACCTTTGGGAGTGTTTTCTAGTCAAGTCTGATGGGGTACCACACCCTGGCCCTAAAGTCTATTTTTGGTATTCATAGGGACTTCATTGTTTTGCTCCCCTTGCTGCTCCGTTGCACGCCCTTAACGTTTTGCCCCAGTGTGGTGGGATCAGATCAGGCACAGTTCCCACACTGTGTCTCCAGTGTTGTCCCCTGTAGCACTATGGTTCAGCGAGGGATGTCATGTCTCGTGGTGGGGCCAGCCTTATGGTCCTCTCTGTGCACTGGCTGAGCAGGAATATTATCCTTGGGGCTTGGTGGACCAAGGTGTGTTCCACTCTCTAGCCTTCCCTCTTTGTTTGCTCCTGTGTGCTCTGATCAGACATGCCCCTCTCCCTGAGCTGTAGCTTCAATGCTGTCCTCTGAAGTGGATTCTTCTGGGGGTCGGGGGAGGGGGGGAGTGCACATGTTTAAAGCTTTATATACATTGATTAAACTTCAAGAACCTCTTTCAATAATCACCTTCTTTAGCTATGTCTCATTCCTTGTGTTGTTGGTCTCATTAACTGAGCTAAGGAAGTAATTATTTTATTCACTTTGTCCAGTTTCCCTTAGTTTGAGTGTCTCCAGGAATTGTATTGTGTTTCCCCCCTTTTAAAGTGAATTGCCAAGGGCTTGGCAATTATCTCAAACCTCTTCCTTTAGCTCAGATTAATCCCTCTATCTCATGGCTCTTTATTTTTCAGCATCTCTCAAACAAAGTGATCGAATTGACAGAGAAATAGATTTAAGGTGGCGTTGTTAAATAGACATTGGACTGCTAATCACAGGTTATGCAGTTCAAACCCACCAGTCACTCATCAGGAGAAAAACAAGGCTCTTTGCTCCAATAAGGATTCACAAAGCCTCAAGAACCCTAGAGGGTCACAATAAGTTGGGATTGACTTGGTGGCAATGGGTTTGACTTGGTTTTGATTTTTTTCAATCACATTGTTTCCTAAGGGGGGAAAATGCTTCTGTTATAGACTTTAGGTTTGTTATAATTCTCTTAAGTTGGTTTAGTCAAGTGAAAAATAATCCTCCCTAGAGTAGAACTTCCTGACAAGAGTTTCCAAGGTTATAAAGTTGTATGGAAGCAGACTGCCACATCTTTCCCCCCCAAGCTGGTGGGTTTGAACTGCCAATCTTTGAGCTAGCACTCAGTGACTAACCCCTGTGCTGCCAGGGGTCCGAGAAAGTAATTAATCAAAGATAATTCACTCAAAACTTGTAATCATTTTCATTTCATCTTACCTATATTCTAAAACTTTCTATTACTAAATGCCAACTGAGATTTTTGTTGCCAAAAAAACCTCGTTGAGTATTTTGTTGTTGTTTCCCTGTCTCCTCTGTCTTGACATTGTGGTTTTGAGGGTCACTGGGCAAGTGCAGTTCGTGATTGACAAAGTGGACTGCCTAGAGTTTATCCTGCTCTCTCACTGCTTTGGCTGGCAGAGCAGCTGGAAGGGGTGTGGCTGAAGGTGAGCCTTCTGGGGAAACTTGCACTTTCAAGTGCAAAGAAAGGGGAGGCAAGGCCTCGCCTTTTACCTGTGCTGAGCCCAGTTCGCCGTCCCTCCCCTGAACTACCAGGGTCCTCTGAAAGGGTCTCGGCAGTCCTGGGTCCACAGGCAAGTGCCCCAAGGCTGCGCTGTTCTCTGCAGGTGTACCTGGCAGCAGGCACCGTGTACGGACTGGAGGGGCAGCTTCATGAGCTGGAGGATGCTGCCCGCAGCATCCACAGTTGCACCAATGAGACGGAACTGGCCGATCTGGAGGACCAGGTAGCCACGGCCGCAGCCCAGGTCCACCACGCTGAGCTCCAGGTGAGATCCTTCCTCTCTGCTCAGAAGGGGGGCTCGCAGGGGGATCCCCATTTTCCACAAGACTTGTCTCAGACGTGGGAATAGAGTTAGGGCCCTGTCAGATGCATTCCAACGGATCTTTTTTTAAAATCATTTTATTGGGGGCTCTTACAGCTCCTATAAAACTCCATACATCAATTGTATCAAGCATATTTGTATATATGTTGCCATCAATATTTCCAAAACATTTTCTACTTCAGCCCTTGGTATCAGCTCCTCTTTTTCCCCTTCCTGCCCTCGTGAATCCTTGATCAATTATATATTTTTATTATTATTTCATATCTTACACTGTCCATTGTCTCCCCTCACCCACCTTTCTGTTATTCATCCTGCTGGGGGGGTGAGCGCTAGATATCCAACCTTATGATGGATTCCCCCTTCCTCCCCCTTCCTGGAAATCCCCCTCCCCTTATGACATCACTGCTCACACTACTGTTCCTGAGGGTTTTATCTGCCCAGAATTCCATGTGTCGAGAGCTCTTATCTGTACCAATGTGTGTTCTCTGGTCTAGCCAGATGTGTAAGGTAGAACTGGGTCATGATGGGGTGGGGGGAAGCATTCAGGAACTAGAGGAATGAGCTGTGATTCATCGGTGCTATACTGCACCTTGGTTGAATAATCCCTTCCTTATAACCCCTTTTTGATGAATAGACTCTCCCCCAAATTAGAGTCTTGCTAGCACATGGGACTTCTGGTTAAAGCCTTACATCCCTTTCCTCTGATGTATTTTCTGACCCCTTTGGCAAGTCACTCTGTTATCTGGGTTCCCAATTCCACCCCAGACCACGCTTCCCCTTCCCTGTCATGCAGTTGATGACGCCTTTGATGCCCCTCTTCCCGAGACTACGAGCTTCCTGAGAGCAGGCTTCTGTCCAGTCACTTGAGTAACTAGCATATGTAATAGTCTGGGGACTTTAGAGAAACAAATCCACAGACACTCATGTATAAGAGAGAGTTTTATGTAAAGAGTAAGTCCACATCAAGAAAACACCCCAACGCAGTGCTGCCCAAGCCCACAAGCCCAACATTAACCCATATGTCCGACACCAATCCACAAAGTCCTCCTCCATCTCACAAAACACACACTATGATGCCGGCTGCAGGAGGAAAGCCAAGTCAGTAAATGTGTAAGCATCTCAGCGCTGGCAGGGGTCTCCACACGGCTGCTCCAGCACCCAGGGCTGCATCGGGGTAGGTCCGTATGGCTTCTCCTTGGGGATGTCTTGCAGGAAGTGAGCCTTGCCAGCTGAAGCAGGGAACTGGCTAAGGCAGCTGCACCCTGGTCCGACCATCACAAAGCAAGAAACCCGAGAACTAGAAAGCCAAGGCTCACTGAGCCATTTAGCTCCCTGCCCTTCAATTAACCCCATATGTGTTTATCGGCCAGGTTGGCACAATAAACTTTAACTATGTCAGCATGATACCCGGCACATGGTAAAAATGGATTGAATGAGGGAATGGAATTCGAAGCCCGGCCCTCTCAGGCCTATGCTGTCCATGAGAAGCAGGCAAGGTTCAGCTCAAAGAAGTCACTGCCCTGCAGTCTATGCTGACTCAAAAAGACCCTGCAGGACCTGCCCCGGTGGGTTTCTGAAGCTGAAAATCCTTCCAGGAACAGAAAGCCTCACCTTGCTTGTGAGAAGTACCTGTGAGTTCCCACGGATAACCGTGAAGCTGGCAGCCCTGAGGTGGGACACAGTCACATGCACAGACTCAAGCTATAGACCGGTCAGCCAGTCCCCGGGAGTCTCCATTCCACCACAGCAGCAGAGGGCCTTCAGGGATGGCTTATTTCAGAACCGCTTGCAGTATCCCCCAGGTCTTTCTGAAGACACGTGTGTGCCGTTTCTGTGGATCTTCACCGATCGCTGACGGGGCATTCAGAATTAACAACAGACTCAGTCGTTGCAAGCTCTCTCCTTGATAAGACATCTTCATTTCCATGAGAGGTGTCGACCCTAAATCTCAGCCTTTGGGCAGTGCCTCAGCGTGGGAACCTTGATCAGCACGGATGCGCCCCAGCTCTGCTGTCTGTGCTCATCCAATTAACCTCACTCAAAATACCACACGGGCAGCCGTCTTCTTTTCTTTTCTTTGTTTTTTGTGGGAGGGTGGGGTGGACGGAGGCTCTCACTGAGTAGGGTAGGTACACTGAATTGTGTTCTTGGATTCAGCCAGGACCCAGGAGTGCTGTGCAGGATGCCATTGCCCAGTGGGGAAGGAGAAGGCAGAGTGACCCATGGGGATGGCCTGGCAATGGCCTTCCTGGGGAGCGGCTCTCCTCGCATCAGGAAAAGCTGTCCTTCTGCAGACAGGGTTCTTGATCGTAGCAGATATGCAGTTCTACGTTTGGTCGTTTTGCTTTGATTCCCAGGCACCGGGGCTAAAGCAAACCCCTCCCCTCACTTCTAGCAGGTCATATAGCACGCAGCCTTAGGAGCAAGGAGGGATGTTCACGCATGCATAGACCAAAGGACAGGCCACATCAGCCTGTCCCCTGCCGTCTCCGTTCCTCCTTCGGGTTCTCTTGCCCTACGGATGGAAACGTCTTCTTGCAGCATCTGTCCAGTGGATCAGCAGTTTACTTCTCATTGGCCTGTCTCCCAGGGCCCACTGAGCAAAGACCTTCCATTGTAACTACCCCCAGGAAAGACTGTGGGGTGCCGGGCCCCACAGTTGCTAACAGCAGGCGATGGCTTAGCCTGAACCCTTTCTCAGGGGATTGTGCAAGTCACTGGTCGGTAAACCACAGGATTCTGCTCTCTGTGTGAAGCTTGAGGAGTTAAGAACAGCAAAGGATCTTGGGGGGCCAGGAGAGGCAGGGCCCGGGAGGGCTGGGGGACCCCTTTTAGGTGTCAGCTGCCAAGAGCTTCCGCCTGCGCTCATTCCCCCCTGTCCAAGATATAGCCTTCAACTACCCCTCCTCCATTTCTGACCAAGACTGTCACCCCTCAATGGGGAGTGGGGGTCATCTCCCCTCGCTAATGACCCTTCTGCTGCCTTCTCTCGGGATTCCCTCCGGCCCTGTCCCTGTAGCCTTCGTGCAAGGGAAACCCCTGCCATGGAGCTGCTGCCGACTCATAGGAAATCCTTCACCGCATTCCCCAGCCTGTGACTTGTCGCCAGAGCAGACAGCCTCATCTTTCTCCTGCAGAGCGGCTGGTGGGTTCGAACCACCGACACAGCAGTCTAACCCAAAGTGCTCCCAAGGGTCCTTTTGTTCAAAGCAGGCCTCGGAACACGATAGGAGGATCCCCCTGCTCCCTTCCATAGTAGGGGCTTGGTTTCTCCGTACTGTGGTTTGGAGTCCTCACAGCCAGGGAAGCAGGAGGTAGGGCATATGCGTTCTGTTGGCTCATTCCTGACATAAGCTCTTCTGGAAGCCATACCCTGCCCCACTCCATGCTGAGCCAAGTGACCTGGCCCAAGCCCCCATGATGCATGGGCTCAGGGGTATCAGCAGGTGTGCTCTGGCCAGATGCCCAAACAGCGCCTTGGCAAAGAATGCCAGGGCGTTGGGTGTTGGACAAGCCAGCACATGGCACAGGCTCCGGAGAAAGGTTGCAGATTAAGCTCTCCGTCCTAGCAAACCCACAGAGCCAGGCCGGCACCCCTGCCTCGACTTCGCCATCACTGCTAGAGAAGGTGCCGGTAGTCGTGAAAGGGATGAAGGGACGGCGGGCATGCCCCAAAGCCTCGGCTCTTCATAGAGGCGTGCATCCTTTTAATGAAGATTCTCCCCTCTTGATTCCAACCCCACCCTCCACCTGCCCCCGACCCTGCCTTCCCGCCGGATTAAGATTTCCGACATCGAGAGCCGGATCGCAGCCCTGACCGTGGCAGGATTGAACATCGCGCCCTGTGTGCGGCTCACACGCAAGCGGGATCAGAAGCAGAGGAACCAGGTGCGGTAGCTAGTCCCTCACCCCCTCGGAGGAGCGAGTGTGCGACCTGGACGTTTCCGAAGACAAACGGCCTTTGGGCCGCTGTGTTCTGTCCGTAGGTACACACCATCGATGCGTCCCGGCAGCAGAGGCGGAAGCTGCCGGCGCCGCCAATGACAGGTACGTTGAGATGAAAACCAAACGGTCATCGGGCGACAGTGACTTGAGTAGCCGAGAGGCCAGAACTGGACGCCCTACGCCTGGAGGACGTCCTCACCCGGAATGGCTATTGGAAGGGGTCTGTCTTAGGATCTGGTCCCCAGAAACACACCCTGGGACAGGTGATTCAGAGACCAGAGCTCAGCCAATGCGAGGTTCTTTAATCCGGCGCTTCTCCTATGGGCAACCGTGGCTAAATGCCACTGGAGACCTCTAGGAGGCAGTGTTGGCCACACCACAAAGGTTCCTGCCCCAAGCATAGTGAGCTGAGGTATTATCCATCAGTTCTTATCCATCGTTGGCCGAAGGTTATTCCCAAGGTCATTGACACTGCTACCCCTGACCTGTTCCCATGCATGGCCCATGGGAAGCCTGGGACAGAGTGCAAGTGTTTGCCATCGGCGACTGGCATGGTGTGCCCGAATGATGAATGCCAGGGACGTGTGGGTGGAACATCGAAAGCATTTACCAGGATCCAACCCAGAAGGGAAGCTAGCTGTGCCAGCCTTGCCTCCCGTACCCACGGGCTGTTCTCAACCATTGGCCTTGATTCAGAAGCCGTGGGGTGAGGCAGAATGACCTAGTCATCTGGATTTACAGATTTGAGCGATTGAAAGTCAGAAAGCGGAGTGCGGGATCCCCTCAGTGCCCTTCACTGGACGTGTCCTTTGGATTCCACAAAGCCCTGTGTGGTTAAAATATGTTTCACGTTCTGTGTAATATATTTATTATATCATATCATATATCATTATAAAACCTCCCATGGCATCTGGGATGTGTCCTAGTACCACTATTACGAGTTAATGAGCCTTAATGAACAGAAATTTATTTTCTCACACTTTAAGGTGCTCAGGCCACTGCCCTTGAACCAATTCTGACATGTAGCAGCCCTATCGCGCAGGCTAGAGCTCCTCCCGGGGGTTGCTGAAACTGTGAACTCTTCGTGGGAGTACAAAGCCTCCCCTTCCTCCCTTAGAGGGACTGGTGGTTTTGAACTGCTGACCTTGTGGTTTGCAGCCCAACACATAACCCACTAGACCACCGGAGCTCCTTTGAGAAAGCTGAATTCAGGGCACTAGCCCTAGGGGAATGCTTTCTCTCTGTGTCCGCTCTTGGGAGAAGCCTCCTTCTTGGCTTCTCTAGCATTCTCCTCGGAGTTCCTTGGAGAGCTCCACATGGCATTGATCTTCCTCCATTTGTACGTGCTTGCTTCTGTACCCGATTGGCTCCTTTAAGCCAATCCTTTCACAGATAGGGCCCTAATAACATCAGCAGAGATATAATTTTGAGGATTAAGCTGGGCCTGACACAAACGATGGTATTTTCAGTTGCCTCATATGCATGTGAAGGTGGGACATTGAGTAAGGAAAACTGGAGAGGAATTGATGCCTTCTATTTATGGTATTGGTGGAAAGTATTGAATATACCACGGGCTGATAGAAAAATGAATGAACTTTAAAAGAAGGACAGCTAGAATGCTTCTTAGAAGCTGAGACCCATCCTTGGGCGTGTTATCAGTAGAGAGCAGTCCCCGGAGAAGGAGATCCTTCTTGGTCAACTAGAAGGTCAACAACAAAAGGAAGGGCCACAATGAGGTAGATGGACACAGTAGCTGCAAGAAAGTGGTCAAACACAGCAATAGTTGTGGGGACGGCACAGGACGGGGCGGTGTTTTGTTCTCTTGTGAGAGGTCCGTATGAGTCAGAACTGACTCAGTGGTGCCTAACAATAATAATAAGCCAACTCTATTCCAAATGGGCTTACGTACACAGGTATAGCAGTGAGGACCTCAAAATTTATTTGGGGGAGGGGGGGAAGAGACACAGTCCACTCCATAACAGGCAGCATTTGATCATGAAACGTGACTATCCCTACAGGGAAAAAAAAACACAGTGTTCATACTCACCAACACAAGCATGTTCCGTGACCACAACCCATTTTAGAGCAGGTGTTTTTCATCAGATGAGGTTTGGCTCTTGGGTTGTTAGAGCCAAGAGCCAGGTTGGCAAATAGGAATTTATGGATGCTGTGGGGTGCCCTGTGAACTACCCGCTCCCCCAGGACAGCTGCCACTACTGCCTTGACTGACTGGGCCATCATCAACGTGGGGGGTAAGATGAAAAGATGCCGCAGTCACAGTCAGACAAAAAGAAGTCTAGCACAAAATAAATGTAGGCAACCACTGAGGTCTCTGCTACTCAACAGTCAGCCTGGCTTTTGAGGGGGGGCTCACTCCTATTTCTCTCCTTTTTAGCCGAAAAACACGAGGCACCTGCCGTGGCCACCCTGAAAACATTCAACCGCAACTTCCTTCTCCAAGACTTCTCAACCATCAGGACTAAGGAAAGGGACAAAGCCACCAAGGACCTGGTGGTAAGCTGCTTCTCTGCCGTAGGGACCTCACTCCCACTGTCTTCCTGTAGCTCCAGGGGATAGCCCTTCCTTCTGCACCTCCCCCAGGAGAACCCAAGAAGCCTCTGTTGGCTTGCAGGTGGGAGGGCTTCTAAAATAGGGACCTGGTCTCCCACCTACCATCACCAACCTCTGTGATGTATGACTCCGTCACCTCAGCCACATCTCTGCTGCCGGTAGAAACGGGCTGTGGTCCGAGGGAAATGTAAGTTGGTACACAGGCGTGTAAGACGGGGTTGGGTAAGAGAGCGAGTGTTCTGTTTCAGTCCATATTCCCTCTCCCTCTGATGCCGTGCTTATGAACAACTGTTGCTTTGTTAGCATAGTTATAGATCACATTAGGGACCTTGGCGGTGTAGTGGCTAAAGGTCTTATCCAAAAGGTGGGCAGCTCAAATCCACCAGCTGCTCCTCAAGAGGAAGCCACATTGGTCTGCTTCCCTAAAGACAGGCCTTGGAAACCCCATGGGGCCATTGACTTTGCTCTCTGCGAGTGGGGGTTGGGATCACTTGATGGGGATGGGTTTTCTACGTCACATTCTACGCTAATAAACACATCACATCTTGATTATACTTAATTTTCATTTCTCGTGATTTAATTAATGAGGAAGTTTTATTTTTATAGGAAAAGTAAGACTTCTCAGCAATTTCATTGACTTTCTGCTTTTCATTAACTGATTTTTGCATGGAGCTTGCTTGTTTTTGTTTTTTAAAATCATTTTATTGGGGGCTTGTATAACTCTTATCTCAATCCATACATACATCCATTGTGTCAAGCACATTTGTCCATTTATTGCCATCATCATTCTCAAAACATTTGCTTTCTACTTGAGCCCTTGATATCAGCTCCTTATTTTCCCCTCCCTCCCCGGCCCCTCTCCCTCACAAACCCTTGATAATTTATAAATTATAATTATTTTCTCTTGTCTTAGACTTCCTGACACCTCCCTTCACCCATTTTTCTGTTGTCTGTCCCCCAGGAAGGGGGTTATATGTAGATCCTTGTAATTGGTTCCCCCTTTCTACCCCACCTTCCCTCCACCCTCCTGGTATCGCCACTCTTACCACTGGTCCTAAAGGGATCATCCATCCTGGATTCCCTGTGTTTCCAGTTCCTATCTGCACCAGTGTACATCCTCTGGTCTAGCCAGGTTTGTAAGATAGAATTGGGATCATGATAGTGGGGCGGTGGGGGGGGGGGGAGCATTAAAGAACTAGAGGAAAGTTGAATGTTTTATCGGTGCTATACTGCACCCTGACTGGCTCGTCTCCTCCCCTTGCATGGAGTTTTAGTGTCTCGGAGTCAATGCCTGGTCCATTTGTTCTTCTTCATCTGCATCTGAAAAGAAAGGTAGTACAATGCTTTTGACTGTGTTTATGAACAGCGTCAGTAGCAGCAGCCACAAAATGCAGCCAAGAAAGGGATGGCAGATCATGAGTACGGACTCAGGCGATCATACCCTGCTGCCATCAAGCATGTTGAGCATGTTTGATGAAGGACATGGTGTCTCCCTCAGCGATACCAGTTGTGCTAAGGGCAGACACCAACTGGAATGACAAGTTTGAAGCCAGGGCCAAATGTATTCTGCAGCCAGTTGTGCGCCAGCCACCTACTGCCCCTGTCATAAACGCACGAGCCCCAGATAATGGTGTGATGATGGGCATGCACTGATGCATTACACATACCCCATCTCTTTCCAGCAACGTCATCCTCATTGGTCAGCCCCAATCCCTGGACTTCTAATCACCTTGCTCGCTTCTGGCCCATTAGTGCAGAGAGCTAAAATGATACATCAAACTGAAAGGGTCTACTACTGGGACCAGGGATGGACTCAATCAGATGATAAAGATGAAGATAAAGTTGAGTAACAGAAAAGTTAAAAAGGAAAGAGCAGACAATATTTATTCAATAAATGCAAACCCAAAAAGAGGTACGGATGGGGGTGGGGAGATTGCTTTGAAGCACAAAAGGATGCAAGACAAGAAACATTCAGAGAAAGTGAGCAAAGGGGCCGTTGTGTTCCTGATGAAACATAATTGTTATCATGCCTTGGGAGATGGCTGGAAGCTCCCACGTCGGCCTCTGGCAGCCCCAGGAGGCCAGAGAGGAATCTTAACTACTCTGAAATCTTCGCTGAGATCTTTCCTTTGCCGAAGAGTGACTTTCGTGCCAAGCATCCGCGGATCTTTCATCAAAATGGATAAAAGTCTCCAGTGCCTAAAAACCACTCTCTGAGACCAAAATGCCCCAAATAATCCAGAGCATCAGTGTTCCATAGAACTTCCTGCAGGGATGGAAATGTTCTATATTTGCAATGCCAACTACGGTGCCAGTTCACCGCATGCGGCTACGTAACCGTTGGCATATGACTACGGGGTCAGAAAGAAATGGTTTCTCAATGCTATTTCATTACTGTCTTACAGATTTCAGGCTGGTCTTGATTTGTATGTACGTGGTATTTTCATTTTCTAAGCAGCCTGTGGGCTTGCATGTTCTAATGTTCACTTCACCAAGTCAAGAGACAAGCCAATCCACAGAGCACTCACAAGACGAAAGCATTACCCGTAAGGAAAAAAACTATTTGGACAGAACAGAAGGCTCTGTTCTAAGGAACAGCTAATTCCCAAGCCATCTAGCCATTTCCAGTGCATAAAAAAAAAGAATGGAAAATTGAATCTTCGTGTCGTGAAGCTAGGCTAACCCCAATGACCCAACCCTGGTGTGACTCTAAGCCAACTCACAAACATAGGCACCCAGACCACTGGACAAGCAAATTACACTGGTTGTCCAGAGAGATGGAACATGCTAACTAAGCTATTAGCAAATTAAACTCCACAGTTAAATAATAAGTTACCCTATTCAATAGTAAATTACTGGGTGGTTTTATGAGACTACCTCTCATATTAAAAGAAAAAACCTCTCCCAACTCTTTGCCACCAAGTTGAGTGGGACTCATTGCGACCCCATAGAACAGGGTAGAGCTGCCGCTGTGGGTTTCCAAGGCTGCAACTCTTTACAAGAGCAGAAAACCTTGTCTTTGTGCCACTGAGCAGCTGGTGGTTTTGAACCACTGACTTAGGGGTTAGCAACCCAGTGTATTCTCTACTCTGCCACCAGGGTTCCATCTTTGATATTAGGATGACTGGGGTCGGGGGTGGTTGGGGATGGGTGGGCGTGTTGCTGTGGGGTCAAGGGTGACTCATATTAAGTGACCTTCTAGGTCAGGGTAGAACCTCCCCTCGTGGTCCCAAGCCTGAAATATTGACTAATGAAGCATATCCATCAATGATTTCTTCCCAAATGAACTTGTAGTTTGATCCAGTTGTCATCCAAATGTGTTAGATGTCCTTTTGAACAACAATAACACAATCCATATCAGAGTAACTATGGGGAGGGGGTGGAGATTAAAAGTATTTTGTGAAATTAAAGTGATTTTTCTGACCTATTTGAAATAAATGCTGCTCTGCGGTAGGTTAACAGATTAGAATAGGGAGCTCAGAGATAGATACAAGCGGACATGAGAATGGGCTACATGCCTTTTTAAATGAAACATTACATACTGGTACGGAAGGCATGGATTACTAAACTACTAGGAAAATAGGCCATGAGGTAGCAGTGGAGAGGGAAATCAAATCATTCCCATGCCATGCCCCAGAACAAATTGCAGATGCATTAAGAAGGACTTGCAGCACGTGACAAGAAGGGATCTTAAAGGTCATGAGATACATCAATGGTCAATGATCACACATTCATTTTATGATACACTTGAGTTAATTCCAACTCACAGTGAGTCCACAGCACAGGTTAAAACTGCCCCTGTGGGTTTCGAAGGCTGTCAATCTCTATGGGCCTAGAAAGCCTCCTCTTTCTCCTGTGGAGTAGCTGGTGGTTTCGAACTGCTGGCCCTGAAGTTGGCAGCCCAACCAAAGGCAGTCACATTGTAATCACCTAGGTTCGCTTTTGCCAAGTGGCTGATGACAGTGTGCTTACCATGTCCCCCAGGAGCCCACTCGGGAGTCTGCTGTGACGATTTAGTGCCATGAAACTCCACTGCCAGTGACCCACTGCCTCCGGCCGTACACGACAGTGCCTTGACCCAACAGCCATCGAATACCGTCTGGATGGCCACCTGAGGCGAAGGTCTGGGGAGGCCTCAGTGTACCTTTGCACAAGGCTGGCCTGATACCTCACCCAGAAGACCGCCTTGTGGTCTCGCCCCCCTGTCTGCCTTCGGCTCCCAGGGGAATCCAGGACAGAAAACCAAGACGCTGGCCTCCAGCAGCAGTTGATGCATCGTCTTCACGTTTGCTTTGCCCCGGTGTGTTGTCTTCAAGGTCTTCTCTTTGTCCTAATCGCCTTGATTCCACTGGAATCACGCGTCAGTGATTTGTCCCAAGGAAAAGTGTTGAGAGCTGGGGAGAGGGGTGGGGGGATGTGGGCGTGGCGAGGAGAGGGATTGCCCATTCATCAACGCTTACTGATCGCTCACAACATTTGGAAAGTCTCCAACAGCCTCCTCACTCCCTGCCACACTACCAGCCCCTCCCGTTGTTCGGCACGCACAAGCCACAGACGGGAACACTGTGGCTTGCCATGCCTAAAAGCTCCCCTCTCCATCTCTTCCCTGACTCTAGGTCTGCCTGAAACAATAGCTCATTGAAAACTTAGGGTTTTTCCAGAGAGTTCCTGAGGATTTCCCCATCCCGAAGGGGACGGGACCGTGGGAAAGGCCGCCACATTGGTCCGCCATGAAGACACTGTCCAAACACAGCAGGACGCCCTTTAGCCAGCACCGACTCTCCATGAGATCCAGGCGACTGGGTCTGTACCGAGGAAAACCACATGAGAAATTGTCCTCCAAAGTCCATTCCCCAAGGCCTAGTCAGCTCACCCGTCAATGCCATGAAAGTGTCTGAGGGCTAGCTTGGGTCCAAACAAAGCCAGGACAAACTGTGAGTGGATCGGACTCAGGAGTTGACAGGAGCGCGCCATCCATGGTCTGTTTCAAATGCATGACTATTTAAAGTGTGTGTGTCAAAATCAAGTGAAACGGGAGTTTGGCTCAGTTCATCCGGCAGTCAAAACACGTGCTTCTGCTTGCTGTGAGATACTCAGTCTGTGTAACAAAGGCAAAGGGTGGGAGGCACAGGGATGGCATGCCTGCCTCAGTAGAGTGCTGCTCTGGAGGAGGCAAAATTTTCGTTTGAATTCTTATAGCAGTCCCACTCAGTAGGTACCCCAATGTTTCAAATATGGAAATGGAGGACCAGAACAATGAATGTGCCCAAAGTCACATTACAGGTGTCTGTAAGCTAATTATCGTTGTAAAGCATCGCCCCGCATTGTTTTTGACTCTGTGTTCTTTCGCTGCTACATGCATTTCCCAACTTGAGTTGCTACCAAAATACATGTGTATGATCCATCCCTGATGGGGGACGCTTGTCTCCAACTAAGACTCCTTGCTGATGCTGTGTGTGTGTCATCCAACAGAAATGACTCATTTGAAATCAAGGACATCTTTGGGTTTTTATTCTGTTGGTGTGCTTCAAAGCAAAAGAAACAAAACAAAATTTTTAAAACACAAAACACACACAAAAGATCTGAGTTCCAAATAGAACATTTTCTTTAAGAGGCATGAAAAGCAACTATTGTTGTGTTACAGTGTTAAAATATTCATTTCCTTTGACAGAAATGTGTACTGTGTAAGCCTTGCAAAAAAAAAAAAACAGAAGCCTGCTCTGTGGCATTTGAATTTTTATAAAAATTTCCTTGTGCCAAACCAAGTACAAAGATTTAATTTACTATTTAAAACCATAAGCATATGTTATAGCTCCAGAAGAATTATTTTGTCATCAAGTGATTTTGATCTTTAGTGTCAATATTTATATTTAGATTAATTTTTATAAATGAAAATATTTTAATGGTTTAAGATAATGAGGATAATAGAACCTATGAAAGTTATGCCTGCCTTCACGTTATATGCATATTGCCAAGAATTACTGTCAAGAGAAATGATAAACAAGTAAAAGTCATTTATGAAAATAAAGTGAGTGGTGTGTGAGTGTTTGCTTGGAGAAGACTGAGAGGGTGGAGAGAGAAGTAACTGGAATAGCCTGTGCTCAAAACCACTGCTGTCCCCACCGCTCACATTCCTTCCAGTCCCACCACTCCCGTCACCACTGCAGTGCTCCCATGACCCCGAATTTCCCAATGAGTCCCTTTACTCAAGGCGAGCCTAGTGGCACACTGGTTAAAGTGTCTTAGTCCTGGTTGACTAGAGAAACAAATCCAGAGACACTCATATGTGTATAAGAAATAGCTTTATATCAAAGAGTCATTGGACCTTGAGAAAACATCCCAGCCCAGTCCAAATTAAGTCCATATGTCCGATACTCATCCATAAATTCCTCTTTAGATTCACGCAGTATATGCAATGATGCCAAATGCAGGATGATCACAGGCCAGTGGGTAGAAGGTCTTGTGCATCCAGTGACAGTGGAAGTATCTCAACACTGGCGCAGTCTCTGCGTGGCTCCTCCAGCTCTCCGAGTGTCTCAACAGCAGGAAAGGGAAGGCAGAGAGACTGGGTCTGGCCTCCAGTGAGCTATTTATCTATGCCACGCCTCCAAATGAGGTCATCAAGCTGAGACCTGATTGATAGGCTAGACTCCACCCCTCCACTCAAGTTGACAGATTATGTAACTGCCACAAAGGGCTTGATTGCTAATCAGAAGGTTGATGGTTCAGACCTACCCAGAGGCTCCATAGGTGAATATGAGCATCAAGGAACTCCCATGAATGGCTCTACTCACAGAGCACAGAATGGAATCATCCCCAAAAACAGCAAACACCAAACGATCACCTCCACTCACTCAAAGATCCCTAGGTTGTACTTTACGACTAACCTAACGGTTGGTGGTTTGAGCCCACCCAGCGGTACTATGGAAGAATGGTCTACCTGTCTGCATCTGTAAGATTACAGCCAAATATACTCTATTGGGTATGACATGATGTGGATGAAATGCCGATGAAATTCTGAAAGAGGGAAGGAAAGACAGCTCTGTGGGTAAGTTCTACTCTCCAACACATGGGCTCGACTTGGATGGATCCTGTTGCAATCCACTCAACAGCAATGATGTACTTCTGCTCTAGTGCTCACTCAAGTAAGGCCAGTGGTTCTCAGGGTGCTATTGGCATCTAGTGGATTTGTTAATACATATCTCAGAATGCACAGGAAAGCCCTACAACAAGTACCAAGAATCTTCTGGCCCAAAATATCAATAGTGTCCAGACCCTGAACATGAACCTGGACATAGTGGAGAAGCCCCAGCCCACCTCTGCAGGGGCTGGAGCTCAATTGTGATCCCCTGAGTCTTGCTGCTAAGACTGACCTGTCCGTGGTACTCAACACACCGGATCCTGCCATCTCAAAATAGGTATCGGAACTGCCCAATAACCTGAAATGAATGAGTTCATGAAACACACCCACTCCTCACTTATTGGCATGGCTAATTTCTAAAGATGAGGTCTTTGTGAAAATTAGCCTTAGGCGACAATGGGGGATGACCACCTCAGATCACAAATTGGAGCATGACTCAATCATGGCAAACTGCCAAACCACCAAATCACATCACTACATTGCAGCCAAACCCGTAGGAATCAGGGTTGCCAAGTTGACACATAACCATCAGACCCATCTTTAACTCTGGCCCAGCACTCAGTATTGCCAGATGAAGGTCATTAATGTGCAATATAATAGGACAGTAGTTTTATGACTTGTCATAAAGGTAAAATGTTCACTAATAATAAACTAATGAATAAAAGAGAAGTAGATGTCCTCAGAGAAGCCAATGACCTGCTCTGTCTGGTGGCCAGCCTAACACAATGGTTCTGAAATGTGACCCTGCCTCAAAATCACTTGTAGGGCTTATTAAACTCCAAACTGTGGGACCTTACTCTACAGCTTCAAGTACAATGGGTCTAGAATGGGACCCAAGAGCTTTTATTTCTAACACGCACTCAGAGGATGTTGGTGCCGCTGGTGCATGGACCACACTTTTAAAAATCTCTGAGAAGGGAATCAAGTTACCTTAAGAGCTTCCACCTGTACCTGAAACACTCCAGACAGTACAGAGTAGCCATACTCTCCTGGATGCGAGGTCCACTCACTCGATCCCTCCTATCAGCTCAGAACCTATTGTTTGGGGGAGCTAAGTGACTTGTCCATGGTCACATCACTCAGGTCTGGGGCTCAAGCCAAGTTCTGCCAAACTCTAGTGACCAGCCCTCTGTTTTTCCTCAAGCAAGAGAAAGGTGGTCTCTACTGCTGGGGAGAGAAATTTGAGAGTCCATTTCTCTCACTGAGACAAGCCACAGGCGGCACTGTCAAGTGGTTACTGGGGTGGGTGGCGGGGGGTTGTAACAGGATGTGGGAGAAAATGTTTATGTATGAAAACACATGCTGCAGACACGGCTGCAGGCAAGCAATGAGGCATGCAGTTGCAGTGTGCAGGGGGCTCTGCCAACTCGGGGTGCCTCTTGGCAGACTGTCAGAAGACAGTGGGAGGCAGAAACTCACTAAGCACAAGCCCAAGTGATGGCTGGGGCCCCTGTTTTTTGTGATTCAAATGAGAGATGCATGACAAAGCTGGAAACATACTTCCATTCTGTAACAGGACAAGGAAACACAAGCTGATGTAGCCCCACACCAGCCAAGGGTTAGGCACCACTGCATCATCATACATCAACTCAACTCCACTGCTCTCCAAGGCAGGACCCAGCAACCTCATGTGACCCCTGAAAATAAAGTTTACCCCCCACGGACCTAATGCATAGCAAAGTCTTGCCCATGTCTGGTTGGAATGGGACATGGTTGAATGTTATAAGAAAAATCCTACAAGCCAGCCAGGGTGCAGTATAGCACCAACGAAACACACAACATTCCTATAGTTGTTTAATGCTTCCTCCTTTCCGGTCCCCTGACCCCGACCCCCGCTATCATGACCCCAGTTCTAACTAACAAATCTGGCTAGACCGGAGCATGTACACTGGTACAGATAGGAGCTCTTGACACACGGAATCCAGGACAGATAAACCCCTCAGGAACAGTAATGGGAGTATCGATACCATGAGGGTAGGGGGAAGGTCGGGGGAGAAAGGGGGAACGGATCACAATGATCAATGTATAACCACCACCACCACCCAGCCCCAAAGAAGATGAACCATAGAAAGGTGGGTGAAGGAAGACAGTGGATGGTGTAAGTTATGAAAATAATAATATTTATAATCTATAATGGTTCATGAGAGGGGAGGAGGGAGGGGAAACTGAGAAGCTGATACCAAGGACTCAAGTAGAAAGAAAATATTTTGAAAATGATGATGGCAACATATGCACACATGTGCGTATTACAATGGATGT